TTTAGGCGTGTCGTTGGGGATTGGTACTGAAGCTTGGGTTTGTGCCTCCTTGCGGCGGATATTCAGGCGTGTCGTTGGGGATTGGTACTGAAGCTTGGGTTTGTGCCTCCTTGCGGCGGATATTTAGGCGTGTCGTTGGGGATTGGTACTGAAGCTTGGGTTTGTGCCTCCTTGCGGCGGATATTCAGGCGTGCCGTTGGGGATTGGTACTGAAGCTTGGGTTTGTGCCTCCTTACGGCGGATATTTAGGCGTGTCGTTGGGGATTTGATAGATGAGGGCCGTAGCTAAACGGGCCGAAAATGATTCTGCCGAAACAAGAGCAAGCAACTGCACTGGGGCTCACATCCATATCTATTTACATGTGGCCACACGCTGTCGAGGGTAGCAGTTGGATTCTCTAATTATCCTGCATGTCGTTTGCAATGCATGTCCGCGGATACCATATTTTGAAACGTGAGCGGACATTTGGCAGCTCGGACCGTGGCGGTGCACAACTCAAACAATGCGAGTCAGACACGAGAGCGCGTGTACATGTAGCCGTTCCGCACTAGCCTTGACGGCGCATGGCCAGTACGTGCAGCTGGCCGCGCGCTCTCGAGTTCAATTAATGAACCGGCAACTTTGATCACATATCGTGTTATCTGTCAGTGACGATGTGAGCCGTAGCCTTCATATTTGTCTCCCGGTAGCCGGCGATGAAATGATTCGGTGACTCTTGAGCTAAAGTCGTCATGACAAGTGCCAGAGTTGCCCCATACATTGAGCCTGCAAGGATCTTCATAGGGAGCGTAAGGTGAATATTTTAACGATGTTTGTGTCCCTGAGCTGCCTACCCTTACTCTCCACATTTACATAAATTTCCACTTGGCTTTAGTCCCTTTACGACTTTTGGCCCGTCATTGTCTCCCATCGTTTTATTTGTGTAGCTTGTTTAGAAATGCATTATCTTAAACTTTTACCCAACGGTGATCAGACGGGCCTTCGCGGTTTTAGACGCGCGTGTGATTGCTCTGTGACATCATGCTGAAATTACAAACGGTTTGAAAATGCTTGTCGAACGACGTTATTTTGCGGACAGGTTCCAGCCTGACAATTTCCCACCGATGGGAATGGCATTTTCTATTCTGTGAATGCAGACATACCTACCAGAGATGAATCAGACCCATTTCAATGCTAATGAAAAACATCCACATTTTAACACCAGTCGTGTGCTTTCAGGCTCATCACCACAAATGTTAAAAAGCTGAATTCCCGGGCTAAAAAATTGCTAGGTGGGGAGGTATTATCTTAACCGGGAGCATGCGACCATTTGAGCCAGCAGACTAAAAAAAACATGTCAAGATATTACCAGTTCCTAACGGACAGACCCACGGGCCCCCTCGGGGGCACTCTTAATCAACGCTGCTGCACACCCGGATCTCAACCGGGCTGCTTTAAAACTCCCTTATCCACCATCATGCGGAGTATTTATTGACCACAGCCGCCTGCTCCTGGGCGCATAGTCGTATCGAGCCTGGGACCGGACCCGACCAGCAGGGCGCCGTCAGCGCGTGCAAACGTCCCAATACGGCGGCGGCCTGCATGGGCGTTGTGCCCCGTGCCCACAGTGGACGTTCAGAATTTCGACCAAAGTAACTGAAAATAAAATCTGCTAGGGCAGCCTCAAGTCAGATAAGAAAAAATAGGCTGCATAAAGGTGAAAGCATGAAGTAAAGGTAAAGCCATTGTTCCTGAAATAATCAAACTACCAGGCTATTAAAGGTGTAGGCCATGAAATAGTCAAAAATTAAATAGCATCTCTATACAAATTACGCATCATATAATGCACTCTAGTTCAATGCAAAGTTTAAAAGACGTCTCTCTCTTTCTCTCTGTTACATTCCGAATCCACTGAAGCCTGATCCCAAAACAGCTCTTAGTCACGAAGCTCTTGGCCCTCTAACCTCTGAGTTATGCTTGGTTTGGATGCGTGTCTGCACCATGTTCAGATGTGAGACTTGATTATGTGAGACCCTGGCAACCCGATACGAAACTGCGTTGTTTGATGCAATCATGTAGCAATCTGTGGAATCAATCAGTCAGTCAACCAATCAAAGCAGACCTCGGGCACAAGGTCGCGGACCTCGGACAGGGTCTCAAGTTAGGACACGATCGCCAATAATTAGAACTACTCAAACTTGATCTCGTGAGTCGTGGAGATACTTCGAATCGAATTCAGGCGTAGTATGTCACGTGAACAAACCCGGACGACCGGGAATTCGGATCTAGGTTTGAGACGTCGAGACTCTGTCTCCGTTCTGGATTCGGACGTCTGGACCTAAGAGCATGCCTACTAATCCCGATACTTCAGGACAGGCTCGGTTGGGCGTAAAGCCCTCTGCCTGATGCATTCCTGGTGGGGTGCAAGGCAGCAACTACCTCTGAACTGACCTTGGATCAACGACTACAGTCACCATATTCCTTCAGAAAGGCAGAGCAACAACTGAGGACTTACACGCGGGAAAAATTGAGCAGCTGTGTCAGTGCTTCTCCCTCTGTTTTCCCGTTGTTTTTGCTGGCCCATTTTCCTTATTGAATGAAATGTTCGGTTCTGGCGCGTGAAATGGTGGCCATTCCGAACATCAGCTCCCGGCGTGTCCGGTGCTCCTAACGACATCTTCAGGGGGGGGGGGGGTCACTTCAGGGACTCGGCCGGTCGCGGCGCGTTCTCCTCGTGATTGTCCCGCCCCACAATTACGCCGTCTCGTCACGACGAAACAGCGGCCGTATCGAGCCGTCGCCATTGATCGTCTGCCCCTCCCCCGCCGCTGCCCCCCCCCCCCCCCCCGTCGGCGGCGGCACTCATGAATAAGCAGCTTGTTCGCTGGCGGCCATCCGTCGCGCTGCGGGGAGCGGTGGGGAGGGCACGACCCGTCTGGCCAAGTGTCGACGATCGCCGGCGCCCTGTCCGACGACTAATGAGGCGTCAAAGGCGTGCCGATGCCGCCGCGGCGGCAGCAATCCCCGACCGGCAGCTGTGATGCCCACCCCCGACCACCGCCCCGCCTCCTGGGCACTGCCAGTGCGAGAAAAAGAGGCAGAACAGGCCTCGCCTCAGGGTGCACTTCCGGGCTGTGCTTTAAGTCTAGAACATCACTGTTCAGGTGACCAGTGAGGTGGGGTGACTGCGCCAGTGGTCGTCTCTGGCGGGGTGTGGAGGCCGACCCCAGCAGCTCCTCTTGGTCGCGCGCCCACGAGCCGTGGTTCGACCCTGTGGCTGCGGCCCTGCTGGGCCCCTAATCGATTCATGCAATTAATCGCTGCCTAGCACCCTCCAGACGGCAGCGCTAGCAGGCGACGCTGACAACTAAACGGACCTCATATGAACGGCAGCCGGGCCGCGTGTCGACGGGGGCCGGACAACTAAGACAGGTAGCTTCGGAACGGCTTCGCTGATCACCAAATAGGTGCCATTAATAAACGGCTCACTTAATTAAAGCAGCCAGCTCCTGGGTTTTGGATGAGCGTCGGGGCGGACTGGGCACACGATACGCCGGAATGAGCTGGCAGCTGTGGCGAGGCTGGGAGCTGCCGAGAACATAACGAGGAGTTACATGTCCAGTTGCTTCTTGGACAACGTTATCGAGCTTGCATGCGACAGCAGATGTTTGCCTCTTTGGCACTTAACAAACGAAACGGCTGTGGACCGTTTTATCGATGGCGAGGGCTGTACTTTGACGAAGGCAGCGCCTGACTTCGCCCGTATCACAGCTTAGAAAGGTCCTGCGGCCTATACTGTGCCGCATGACAGAGCTACGCCTGCCTCCTGCACTGTGCCGTCGCACGGATGTGTGTCTGCACAGAAAACGCTTCACGCGGTGACGAGCGGTTCTTCCGACTGACCCTTTTAATGCAGACTATACACAAAGGTGCTGGTATCTTGCGTACGCTCAGGCCCGCCTCACCGCTGGCGATGACATCCATACGTGAAATACCTTCTCAAGGCAGCTCGATGAGAGCTGTAGGATGCCGCGCGAGACCAATGATCTACTAAGACAACTACCATAGTTCATCCGCGCAAAGATTGTTAAGCAAAGCACTGAGGCACCTCAACGCGATCAGGCTGTTATGACCGGCTCTCAATGGGCCGGTTGTGCCGTGCCGCAGGTCGGGGCCGCGCCCGACAACTCGCTTGTGCCACAGGCCAGGTGTTGGTGACGCTGTGGGGACGGGGACACGTCCCTAAATCACCCAGAAAGCTAATAGTCGACTCTGCTGGTTTATGAAACGATGAACCTAAAATTTCGCCTGTCCCCTGCAGAGCTGCTCCGTCGATTCAGCTGTCGGCCTCTGTCGCCGCGCCGCGCCGCGCAGGGCCGACCGGGCGGCAGGAAGTCGAGTGTCGTTAGCGCCGGAAGCTGTTTTCTGGCACGGCTCTCTGCTGTCGTCGCACAAACATGGCGCCCACGCGTGTCTCAAATTGGTCCGCCGGCTGGCACGCGGCGAGGAAATGGCCAGCGACTCGGAATGGACATAACAGCAATTGCCAGCCCATTCCACTTTTTTGGTTGTTTGTCGTCACTGCCAGCAAGGAATTTAAACGTAAAACAGGCGATCCTTAAGATATGCAGTGCCCGTACCGTTTAACATGCGGTATGAAATCCCAGGAAAATCAGGACGATCTTAAGCATGAGCACGCTCAGCTGGTTGTATTATTTCGTGCCTGCGCTCAAATTTTTTGCCTGGCGTTTTGGCATGATTAGAAAAGACCATCGCGTGTTTAAGCAAGCTGGATGCCCGTTACACATGCAGGTATCCTGGGAGACGGCACACGACAGTGTGAAATGACTCCACTGCACTCATCCGGCTCACTCCCTGCTCTTAGTCACGCAACGCGTCTTTGTTTTCGAAGAAGTGTCCGAATCCTAGCCAACCGCTGCTCACAGTGTTAATCGCCTTTGATATTCCGGGTAGCTCCAGGGTCTGCATGTCTCACAGAGGCCGTCTCTTGTTGTTCCAGGTCCATCTCCCCCGCCAGTGCTGTATCGGCGGACACGCTCAGTGTCGGCGGCAGTACATATGGCAGCACATATGGCAGCGTCAGCCGACATAACAGCATCGCCGGAAGGCCCACCTCGCCATCGCCGTCACTCGCCAGCGAGAAGACCGTCACTGAGCACGACCTGCAGGTCAGCAGAGCGGGCCATTTGGAGCACGTCGTATGTTTGACGATGTCAGACGTTGGTGGTCCGTGACCAGCGCTGCGAGGTCAGGTCTGTTGGTTATTTGGTGCACTATCGTAAGGTCATCGAGCCGGGTCGCGTAGAGCGCCACATAGAAGTCAGGAAAGCTGCATTGAGAACGGGATCGTAAGTCCAGGACTGGTGAGCATGTAAGGTTAGTGAGCTGGCTCATTTGGAGCGCTGCTGTAAGTTCAGGGCTTCTGGTCACTTGCAATAGGACCATGAACTGGAAGCTGCTACTCATGTAAAAAAAAAATTACCACCGGAGATCAGGATGATGGGTCATGTAATGGGCCGCAGTCAGGTCAGAAGTACTCGTCACATAGAAGACCACCTGGAGTTCAGCTGTACACCATGAACACCAAAGCTGGGCTTCTTGACAAAGACCAAAGAAGTCTAAACGGTCTGCTTTCACATTTATTACTGCTTAATACCTGTCCAGGGGTCCCCAGGGCCCAAGCACCTCTTCTGCGCACAGGGGCCTTCATTTGACTGGAGTCCTCAGGGATCCTCAGCGTTCCCTTGCGACCCGAAGGCCCATCCAGAAGTCGGGCAGGTGTTTGGGGACGTGCGTAAGTTTATCATTCGTCTGAAAAGTGATTTTTCCAGAACATTGACAATTTTTCAAGGAAAATTTGAAACAAAAGGGTTCGTTGCTTACGATACGCAGAAAAGCACGCCGGCGATGACAATTTGGAGCAGTGATCTGCTGGCAGGTGCAGCTGACGTAGCTTGGCAGATGACCAAATAATGCATATTTACAACGTTCTTAGTGCTTGGATGAATTAGTTAGTTCCATGTACTTAGTGCTTAGTTTTTAACATGACGGTTTACTTGACTATCACATATACGTTACGTTTCAAATTTTGAATTTTCGACTAAAAAGCCTTACCTTGCTGGGTTTAGTATTTTCTCAGCTTCTGGCGAAGTACGTACATTAAATTGGTAAGTCCCAACCAGAGGTGATATTTACCCCCCCCCCCCCCCCCCCCCACTCTGAATGCATCTTACTGCATCACTCATAAGCATAAGCGTAAGGCTTATTTATGTGCGTCACGCAATGCTCGATGTGGGTGCCACACGCTATTCTGTCTCAGGGTTTTTATGCAAAAGATGAATCATGTTTTTAAAATGTCTCCTTTGTTTTCCTTGCTAAAAGTTTTGTTGGTAACATATTTCGTGACTTGCCATGCAAAAAGAAAGACGGCACCCCATCTTTATTTTGAGCCCTTGAACGGGCAAATCGTCTGGGTAGATGTTGTGATCTTATGATCTTATGGACCTGACCCACTTCCCGGATACGTCAGAGCAAAATTCACCGAGCAAACGTAAGGTCAAGCTAGAGGTACTACCTCATGCATTTTCATGAGCGGCAAAGCGACTATCTACCCAACCTTACATTCGTTATCAGCAAATTAGCATTATCTGTTCCTGGGCGTCAAGATCAAAACAAAAAATCGTGAACTATCGACTAATATGCTTAGATTCTCGCCATCAAGCATTTTGGACAAAACGGCGGGGATGACATACATGCATCTTGGATAGGACAACATTTTTGTTGTTTCCTATTGCCGTCGGTGTCCAGCAGAAGTGCTTCGGGATCCATGGGTAAGCACACTTAAAATGCTGGCTGTCACCTATGCTATGCTATGCTGGAGTGTTATGCTGGTTACCTACGCTGTGCTGACCATGGTTACCTACGCTGTGCTGACCACAGTGGTCCGCAGGCCACCTACGCCGCTTTTTCGAGGAATTCCTTGCTGCATTCCAGGTCCCAACGCGATTCTGCTTCTCGCTCAAATTTCAGCTTTATGTATCGCTCTACTGCTAGCGGACGGCGAGATGAGCAGCCTTATTGCGACATATCGCCGCCACTGGGAGGACTACTGGCTGTTGGCGTCATGCGGCCGAGGGTGGCGTCCGAGCCCTATTGCGACATAACGCCGCCACTGGGAGGACTACTGGCTGTTGGCGTCATGCAGTCGAACGTACCAGCCAACGTTGAAGAGGGCTACTACCCGGCATGTCTCTAAAGACGCGGCTTTTGGTGCCAGCTGGCAACAGCCTGGGGCTCCACTTGCCATATGGGCGCGTCCACAGGATGAAATTCCATGTCTGAGATCAGAAAGGCTGGGCTTTTAGATGCTGAGGGGCGAGAACAAATAACGACGGCTATCACGCCGTGGTCCTGATGTCAGTCACTGCGTTATTGGCGTCTGGTCTGAAAGTGCCTCTTTACACAACGTGATCGCCTTTCAGTCGCTTGTCAGTCTCGATTGGGAAGACTTTTCAACGGGTGAAATAGTTAGGGTTGTTCCGTGGCGTTCGTCAGGAACGTCTGCTCCGTTTCAGGACAAACAAGAGCGAGAGGAGGAGGAGCGGAAGAAGCGACTCCAGCTGTACGTCTTCGTTCTCCGCTGCATATCATACCCATTCAACGCCAAGCAGCCCAACGACCTGACCAAGCGGTACCAGAAGGTCACGAAGCAGCAGCTGGAGGTGATCCAGGGCCGGTTTCAGGTCAGTGAGGTCTGAAGCCGTGACGCATCGTTGGCACTCTGGCAAGAGCGACAGCGCTCGCTGCTCCAGTCGCTGCAGATACCGACGCCGGCTGGAGATGCCGAGGCTTATGACACAGTGCTTGTGTTCTATTGTCCGGTCGCTGCAGATACCGAAGCCGGCTGGAGATGCCGAGGCTTATCACGCAGTGCTTGTGTTCTATTGTCCGGTCGCTGCAGATACCGACGCCGGCTTGAGATGCCGAGGCTTATCACACAGGGCTTGTGCTCTGCTGCGGAGTCGTCAAAAATCGCTCTGAGTCAGTGCGGAATCAATTCCTCACCCACAACACTTGGGTCTGATTCGGTTTTGAGTCAGTTATACTGGCCAACCTCACTATTAAGTCGATTAGAATATGTAATTTATCATTCATAGTACATCGACCACACTAGGCTGGAATACATGGCATCAGCTTTAAAAGGTGCCAACAACTCGGCCTATTTTCCAACAGCATGAAAAACGCCATATGCAAAATTTTCGTTTTTAAAATGCACTCTAGTTACAAAAAAATTACTTTCATGTTGTGGATAATCATGGCATGGCTTTTGGTTACACTAGAAAGCTTTTCCGAAAAACTCTAAATAAACTTCAAACAAAGCGTTTCTTAATGCTACTTAATAGAAATTGGACTTGGCTGGTCAATAGACCTACTATAGGCGAGCTAGACTTACTGAGCTAACACCTTCACCATATAACCGAGCTCAATACTTTATCTGGACTTTTGCAGGAGAGGCTGCGTGTATCAGTTGGGTTCAGTTCGCATTGACAAGGAAGATGCACATTTCTCTTTGCTTGCCCATCATTTTCAACGTGGTTTGACGGGCGAAGTACTGGAGAACACGCTTAGTCACACCTTTTCCCGTACGGATACCAGTGCAGAGAAAGGTGGATTGGCGACAAGTTTAGACTGTTTCAGGGCAAGATAAGGCTGTTAGAACTATTTCGATGGGCATGTTTCTGTTGGATTCTAAGACCTATTTTTAAAACTGCAGGTACCCGAATTCTCGCGTACACCTTAAGCGACCTGTGACTGGTGATAAATTGGCGCAGAAATCCACGGATTGGTGTGTTTCGGTTGAAGGTGGGCGTTATCTCCAAAATTTGTGTAGGGAAGGGTTAATTGCAGAATGGTTGAATACCCTCAAGGAGTTGAGTACTCAACACTGAGCCAACAATCGCCTGCACCACCGCAATTCGCTGGTGGAATATATCGTATTAGCAGCTCGAAGAGAATGTTCACGTGACTGAGAGTGCACACTTGCCCTCAGTCAGACGCGACGCACTGCCGACTGCGCGATCAAGAGGGCTCGGCGTGCTCTCCTGGAGTCCAGACAATTGATGGCACCCCGTGCAGAGAAATATTGACCTGACACACCAATGGAATTCATCTCGGTTAGCGAGAACATCGCAAACAGATCGGTGAAAGCCAACAAGACAGGCTAACATACGACGTCACTTTTCAATCTGTCGTGTAAAAGGGGCTACGCAGCTCTCAGAAGATGGCGCATTTATCGCTTGAATCCTTTGGTAGAAATAGTGCGCTATACGGTAGAAATAGTGCGCTATACGGTAGAAATAGTGCGCTATACGGCCTCAGGGCTGTCAGCTGGCTGCTGTTCCAGCAGACGTCGTTTTGCACGCCGATTTGCAATAGATTGTGTCTGAAATAAAACGAAATAGGGATATGCAGTTCTTATTGTTTAATCACAATCACTTGAAGACAGTAATGGATTACATTCATAAAAATCTGGTATGGTTATAGATTTTTTAAGCAAAACTCCTGCCTCACCAGCCTGCGAGCTACCTGATCTAACACTGGCCTATTGTCACGTTCACGGTGGGGTATCATTCACATGCTTGCACGGTATACTGCCAAACTGTTATTGGCATCATTGCTAGACCATTGCTAGATTTTGCGGTCAAGTGCACCATTGCGTTCAGCTGATGAGTAAAATAGTGAACACAGTCTTGAACAACATGGGTGTGAACATTGTGCTTGAATAAGATAATAGCACGTTCATTAGCCGTCACAACATTTGCATCGACTATGCTTCTGAGGCTGAGGCTCAGTCTACACGCAGTCCAAAGCCTCACCGCCATCATCACCACCATCATCAACCACGAGCGAGATCATCCGTGACACGGATGTCTGGCGGCGGAAGCTCGCTTCAGCACCTCCCCGCCGGAGATGGTCGATCAGCTCCGCGAGCACGCATCACGCGGCCGGACCGCAGCCCAGCGCGAGCCCAGCCGAGCGCCGGCCCGACGCCGGGCCCGACCGGTGGGTGACGTCACTCATCAGGCTCCGGTACGCCGGAGATGGACAGGCGACGGGGCAGAGCGGCAGAGGAGATGTCAGGACACGCGGCAGAAAACAGGAAAGAGAGCTGTTTTGGTGATGCAGTGAAGAGAGAAACGACACATCTAACATATATTAAAATTGGACGATAAACGGTTCAGAATACCGAGAAGGAATAAACAAGCTGACGACCACATATCACTGAACATGACAAGTACTCACCCTGGAGCACATTATCGGTGCTAGTCTTTCGGTATAAATAAAAACAGAGTGAGACACGGTCGACACATTGGCAAAATTTTCATAAGCACGGCTTGGGTGGGAAGCACCCCGCGTGCGAACTGGCTTCTGTTTGAGCTTTTCAATCCGTATTTTAGACGGGTTCAGTTGATAACTCAATTATGTATTAGGCGCGGCAAGCCATACATGGTTCAGAGCGTGAGACCTGCCTATGATTAATATTTAACGTCATTTAATCACAGAGTCGCCTCAAGGAGCTTTGCATGGTGAGACAACCCACCTGTTTCCTGGGTTTCAATTGATCTGTTTACGGAATGCATTTGCGTGCTGCAATAGGTATGTGTGTGTGCTTGGCCCTGTGCCAGCCATCTTCCATTGCCGTGAATGCAGCTCGTAGCCATGACGCTCCTGCAGTCTTCGTAACCACGCCGTGCGCTTGGATATCGAGCCCCAGTGTTTCGTGTCCTGGGGAAGTGCTCACCGGCCAGGGTTCGGGGCAAGGGGGGGGGGGAGGGGGGAGGAAGGCGCTTTGGGCCAAGGGTTCAGCCTTCTCTCATCCCATCTCAAGGGAAATGCAATGCAGAGGATTGCATGGTATAGTACAAGCACGCAATTGTAGGACATATCGAAAATGGAAAGAAAACTCACCGCCGGAAAACATCGAGAGACAAACTCACCGCAGGAAAACGTGGAAAGACAAACTCACCGCCGGAAAACTAGGAATATTTTGGAGAATTTCGGGAGCGTCGCACACTACGTTTCCCTATAACGAGAACCTGTCTCCGTCCACTGCATCCCGCGGTACTGCACCCCAGGAGGAGCCTTTTCCGTCACCCTTTATCCGATCCCATAGACAAATGTCTCCCGCCTGACTGTAGTTGCACGTACGCGACCAAAAGGAAAAACGAAGGGATAAAAATGTACGAGCGAGAAGCATGTTATTGCCAGCACCAACAGATCTGGGGCTAGATTCCAGCTGGAAGGAATTGACCCTGGTTTCAGCCTCCGAAAAGGCGTGGCGCCGCTAGGGACATTGGCAACATTGAAAACATTGCCAAGTAAGCGAACAAACTCGTTCACATCGGAGGACCATGACCCCCGCAATTGTTCGTCGCACCACTGCATCACACCAGCGGCATTCCTCTCATTACTGGGTGCCGTCCCAGTGGGAGGATTCTACGGCCCGGTTTATAGCCTCGCTTGCCCCAGCGGAAGCGCGCCGACCTTTGTCGTGCCCCGCCCCGGCTCAGCAGCCACCACCCACCCGAATGGTCCAGCTGTGGTGGTGTCCTGAACACCTGAGCATGATGCGTGCTCAGTAGCATTATCTTCGCCAAGGTAATGAGGTGAGGGCTGAGCTGTATCGGAGGTCAATGCCAAAATGTTTTGCACACAAAACACGGGCTTGAATGCCAGAACCGGTGCAAAAAATTGGCGTGACGCTATGGCCTACATCAGCAACGTATCTACCAAGATAATGTAGGGCAATTACACGGCAGAAAGATAATTGGCAATTAAATACTATGCAAATGATAGTCATTTACATATATAATAAGACTGACGGCGATCATAACAAGGTTGTGACAAACGTCCGACCGTGCGCTCCAGCGTGTCCACCGAAGAATAGATCCATCCACAATGCACTAGAACCTTTGCGTATTTACAACTATTCCTATGGCAATACGACTTTTCTTTTGCCTAGAAAAATGCTTACTAAAATCAGTCATTATAACTGACCCGTGAAAAAGATTTCGCCAAACAGTAGATTAGTGAGTAGCAGCAGAGTGACAGTGGAACTGAAGAAGCGACAGTTGAAAAAAGAGCCGACATGTCAACAACAGTGCTTGCAAACGAGTCTTCATAGCACCCTTGATATGTCCCATGGTTTGCATCGAAGTTTCCCCCCCTCCGGAATTAAGCATGATCCGGGCACGATTTGCGAGAATGCGTTCACACGCAGGGCCCTCCAGAAATGCTGGCGTGTTCCCGAACAAAAAGTTCAACGGAAAAATTCCGAATGGAATATGGTCGAAATAAAAAGCCGAACAAAATAGCCGGAAGGGATAAAGTTTACGTTTTAAAATATTGCAAAACAATTCAAAGAACAAAAAGTCAACAAGGGGAAACTGGAACCGGAGAAAGTCCGAGGAATCAAGTCAACTTAGAAAACAATTCAACCCATCACGATTTGACACGACTAAGCGCAGATTGAATAAACATGGGACGCTTTGTTACGGTCGTCTTCAACCCGAGTTAACGGGCGTGCAACTGGCAGTGGGTGACAAGCTGGCAGCGGCGGTCGGAGGCTGCCGTAGGTCGAGCGGCGGAGCCGGGCCGTCGCCGGTCGACGGCCGTCACCGGCACCGGAACGATCAATGTCAGACGGACCGACGGCGGCGCCCCACCGCCCGTCGGTCGGCAC